TGCCTACAGTTCGGAGCCGAAAGCAAGTGTGCAGAACAGAAGGGGAAGGACGAGGAGCAGAAGGAGCCAGATGCGAAACGACCCCCACTCCCAAGTCCGGACACCAACAACCAAAATGGGGCAGCCTCGGGGCATCTGGGCCACAAACAACCAAGAGCGTTGCAGCAACCTACACCTAGCAAGCAACGCCACAGCCGCCTGCACCCGATTATCATGACCAGTGGCCTGGGTGAACGAGAGCGCGTACCGACAACACCCGTCGCACAACTCCAGGTCATAAGAAACAATGACCCAACAGGCAGCATGGCGGAGGCACAACCGGTGAGTGTCACCCTGAGAGAAGGGAACAGAGCAACCGTCAAACTTGCAAGATGCATGGGGGGGGGGGGGGGACTTCGGGGACACACCCATAGGACCACGGAGTCCCCGTGGGGCTTCCCAGGGGCCCTTAGCCTTGGGTACACGCTAAGGCAAGCCCAGGCAGGGTACCGCAAACCGGCGCCCAAGTCTACCAAACAAACTTCTAAAAGCTGAACCCCCGGGACGTGTCCACTCATGTGGGCCAAGCAGGGAGTACCATCAACAGAAAATATCAAAATAAAAACACCTAGAACAGTAAAGGGGGACCATAAAGGCAGATCCCCCCCTACCAGGCACAAACTAAAACAAAAGAAAAACCCCGCAAGAGGACATTGTACCCAGGCAGAACAGAGCAGGCCGCTGTTATTGGTGAAAACTAGCTGTGCAGTACCCCGCGCCCCTACCAGTGACAAAAACTACCACCTACCCAGAGACAAACCAGGGCAACAAAACCCCAGCCGACTCCAAGGGCGGCCTAGTACCGAGCAGTAAAGGACACAGCACAGGTAGAACCCAAGGTGACTTGTGGAAGGTGGCCCCAAGCCCCAAGGGCAGTACTTACAGGGCACTTAGGGAAGATAGCCCTAGGCGCATACAGCGCGAGTACTGTGGAATCTCACTCCTGGCTCACACCCCACCGGTAAAGACAGTCCACACCACAAGGCATAGAACTGAAACAAAAACCACAGCCAGAGGCACTCGACCGGCCAGTAATTCCATCAGCCAAGAACTACCAGTTGGATCGCCAGCACGGAGGGTCTGGGGCTCCTCCTTCCCCCTCCGGGTGAGGGGGGAGGGGGGGGGGGGGTTGCACAGATGGTGGTTCTGTCCACGCGTTCGACTTTCAGTAGCAATAGTTTCACCAAAATAGGGGTTTGTTTTGGGGCGCCTACCTTTCTTTTTTTACCTAAGTGTAGTCACAGGATGAGAGCTACGCTCGTGGTGTCCCGTCTTCCCAGCACTCTTTGTCATATAACGCTGTGAAACTACTGACGGTCTTGGCCTCCACCACCTTCTCCCCTAACTTGTTCCAACCGTTTACCACTCTGTTTGCGAAAGTGAATTTTCTTATATTTCTTCGGCATCTGTGTTTAGCTAGTTTATATCTATGACCTCTTGTTCTTGAAGTTCCAGGTCTCAGGAAATCTTCCCTATCGATTTTATCAATTCCTGTTACTATTTTGTATGTAGTGATCATATCACCTTTTTTTCTTCTGTCTTCTAGTTTTGGCATATTTAATGCCTCTAACCTCTCCTCGTAGCTCTTGCCCTTCAGTTCTGGGAGCCACTTAGTAGCATGTCTTTGCACCTTTTCCAGTTTGTTGATGTGCTTCTTAAGATATGGGCACCACACAACTGCTGCATTTTCTAGCTTTGGCCTAACAAAAGTCGTGAACAATTTCTTTAGTATATCGCCATCCATGTATTTAAAAGCAATTCTCAAGTTAGAAAGCGTGGCATAGGCTCCTCGCACAATATTCTTTATGTGCTCCTCAGGTGATAGTTTTCTATCTAGAACCACCCCTAGATCTCTTTCTTTATCAGAATTCTTTAAAGATTTCTCACATAATATATAGGTTGTGTGGGGTCTATGTTCTCCTATTCCACATTCCATAACATGGCATTTAGTAACATTAAATTCCATTTGCCAAGTGGCGCTCCATGTACTTATTTTGTTCAGGTCTTCTTGAAGGGCATGACAATCATCTAAGTTTCTTATCCTTCCTATTATCTTAGCATCATCAGCAAACATGTTCATATAATTCTGTATACCAACTGGTAGATCATTTATGTAGACAACAATCACTGATGCAAGAACTGAACGCTGTGGTACTCCACTTGTGACATTTCTCCAGTCCGATACATTGCCTCTGATCACAGCCCTCATTTTTCTATCAGTCAGAAAATTTTTCATCCATGTTAGAAGCGTACCTGTCACTACTCCAATATTTTCCAGTTTCCAGAACAACCTCTTATGTGGAACTCTGTCGAAAGCCTTTTTTAGGTCCAGATAGATGCAGTCAACCCAACCATCTCTTTCCTGTAATATCTCTGTTGCTCGATCATAGAAACTGAGTAAATTCGATACACAGGATCTTCCAGATCGAAAACCATACTGTCTGTCTGATATTATATCATTTCTCTCCAGGTGTTCTACCCATTTAGATTTAATTATTTTTTCCAATATTTTGACTATTACACTTGTCAATGATACCGGTCTATAATTAAGGGGGTCTTCCCTGCTTCCACTTTTGTAGATTTGAACTATGTTTGCCTTTTTCCACACATCAGCTACAACCCCTGTAAACAGGGATGCCTGAAAAATGAGTTGAAGAGGAATGCTGAGCTCAGGTGCACATTCTCTCAGAACCCATGGTGAAACTCCATCTGGACCAACTGCTTTGTTCTTATTTAGCTCCTTGAGCATTTTTTCCACTTCGTCTCTAGACGAAGTGGGTGCCTATCCAGGTCGATGGCAGACACAAAATGCTTCCAACCACAAAGGGGTTTCTATAGGCCATTGCTCCTTGTGCCTCTCTGAGGGGGCCAGGTTCTTGTTCATGGTCCCCGGTAAGCAAGATCTCCTAGCATTTTGACTGATGCCAGAAAGTTATACATATCCATTCAGCCTGGATAGCTCCGGGGAGCCGACGGGGCTCCCCCCAGAAAAATTCCTAAATTTTAGCAGGAAACTACCTTCTGTACACATACTTTTTAAGAAACTTGAATATGTTATAATATTACAGTGGTACCTCAGCTTATGAATTTAATCCACTCCCAGAGACAGTTTGTAACCCGAAAATTCTTAAACCGAAGCGAATTTTCCCCATAAGAAATAACGTAAAATGAATTAATCTGTTCCATACTCCCAAAAATATTAGCTTCAAAGTAAATTTTATACCTAATTCACCCAAATTTTTAGTACTAAAGTATGTACAAGTTATTGCTTACCTTTATTTTGGTCTCTTGTTGTCGTATGGAAGACAGTGAGAAGGGGGGGGGAGGAGAGGTGTTAGTGTTTAGAAGGGGAGTCCCCTTCTATTATAAAATCAGGCAATGATGACTTCTCTGAGGGTACTCTCTCTCCTACGTTTTGCAGATGTACCACTAGGACCTGATTGGTACTCCTGCAGACGTGAGCCTGGTTGTAGCTCACTGCTTGCTTGTCTTACTAAGAATCTGTCTAAAGACATTTGTTTTTCCCTACATTTTAACACTTGCTGTAGCAACGCATCACATTGTCATTTAAAAGGTCAATGTAATGGCCTGCTACAGCTTTATCTGGGTGAGTTTTTTCAACAAAAGTTTGCAGTTTTTCCCATACTTCACACATTTTCTTAATGAGGAAGGAACATCCTCTACTGCCTCTACTCACACTATTTTCTTAGGTTGAACCTTACCACTTACTTTCTTAGGATACATGGCGAGATATATAATAATTACAGTACTTTTATGTTCAAATTTCCAAAAATCCAAAAAATACTGAAATTCTTTACAAAGAATTCAGGCGCGATTATCACCTGGCGGGAGGCACTGGTAAATTAAGGTGCGGTCGTCGTGCCACCACGCGCTAAGTCGGCCATATGTGTATCAACAAACTTTGTTACCCGAGGCAAAGTTCGTAACCCGATTTGGATTTTTACAAAAAAATTGGGCTCGTAACCCGAAAAGTTCGTAAAGAGGGGACATTCATAAGCCGAGGTGTCACTGTATATATTTCTTTAGTTTTTGCTGTAATGAATTGTTTTACATAATTCTTGGTTATTCTATACAATACAAATCATAGGCCCTCTCATTCCCCAGACAGACCCTCTCGACTCTCCCAACACCTCTCCTTCCACGAAACCTGCCACACTAATACCGTACCTTTCATACTCCGCACCTCGAGCCACTATTGTACGGGTTTAATACGGTATGACCCAATGCCTGCTTGCGGTATCGAGCAAAATCTCTGGCTATCTGAAATGCTATTCGGATATGGCAAAGTTTTTCCAGAAAAATATTCGGCCTAAATTTTTGCTAAATAACCCAAATATTTGGATCAGTAGGCTTTGGATAAGTGAGCTCATACAGTACATGTATTTTTTGAACCTCTTCTCATGAACAGTTCTCCATTAAGTTTTAATTGTTTACTATGTGATGAGGTTATTTTTTACCAATGGCCAAATTATATCAATTTACCAATCTTTTTTTTTTTTACCAATTTTTACCAGTATTTACCAATACTGTCAAATCATAATTTAGTCTTTCCTGCCAGTATTTGAATCTCTTTCTGGATGACAATACCAGACAGGACTGTACGCCTAACCTCAGGCTAGGTGTAAAATCCTGGATGCTGTTCTGGATGTTTTTGGCCGGAGTGTGATGATGCTGATTCAACATGATATTACAATAAGTACAGTAAAGTGAAATATATGGTGAACAAAGGGACAGATTACCATTCCATGTTTTCCTCAACACCTTTTATCAGTAATCGTTCAAGAACGATCTGTAAAGCTTGAAATGAAAACTCCCACAGACTTTTGTTGTTTTCCTACAGTTGTGCACTTTTATACAAGGTAAAGTCACAATTTAGGCTTTGTAGGAGAATACATAATGAATATTTGCTATATGTCAAGTAAAACAAATAATATTTTTACCTCTTTTCCTGTACGTATTGTAGCCTGGATGTGATTACGAATGGACCTGGTAAGAGTATAATATGGAGAGTTGGCATAAGAACCAGCTGATATTGTCTTGAGACGTTCGCCTGCCTTCAGCTCTATGTACAGTGTGACTAGTCCATCGGCAACTAAATCATGCAGAGTATCGAAACGCTTCTCACCGACATAATGCTTTTTGCCATCATAGTATAAACGAAAGTGTTTAATTTGATTGTTAAATCTGAAAGAAATAAGAATAATTAATTCAGAAATATAAATATCTTAAATATCTTAATATAAATTATACATTTTTCTCAATACTGTACAAATAAGAATATATAATTTACTGTACTTTAATATTAAGTATGAAGTTGTGACGTATTTCTGATTATAAAATGTAAAGTTTCATGCCTGAAATGAAAACAATGGAATGTTAGAATATACATATATTTTATATAGCCACTAGCTGCAATGAAATTTAAAGGTGCAGCACAAGTTTAAAACTACAAGAGTAAGACTCCCATTTACCAACTTGGTTATGAGCTTGATATAATACAGACAGCAGTGCAACCCAAAAAACTAGTGTTGAATGTAACGAAACGCCATTTTTTGGATGAGCCGCCGGAGGAGCCTTGAAGCTATCAAACTGACTTGTGCCATATTAGTTTGGTGTCATCAGTGCCAGGAGTTATGTGTGCCTACCTGACACCAGAGCCAGAACCTGGTCCACTCAGAGAGGCACAGGAAGCAATGGCCATATGAGCACTCTACCTTTAGTGTGTGTCATGTCTGCCAACGACCGGGGATACCATCAGAAAGGTAGGCGAAACATTACAAACCTCCAACTGGTGAAAATTGTAACCTATATCTGAACAAAGCCAAAGAACTCTCCCAAATGAAAACAATGAAACAAGCACATCGTCATCCAACTAGCACGCCCGCTGAAGCAAGCTGGCCGCTCCACCCCCATTTCATGGAGTGATGAAAACTACCGAACGGAGGGAGGGAGGGAGGGTGACAGGATTCCTCCAAGGCTCGCCTAGAATATGGCGTTTCATTACATTCAACGCTGGTTTTCTGTGGGAAGCCCCGTCGGCTCCCTGAGGCGAAATACCCACAGGTAAGTAAAAAACTGGGATGTACCCGGGAGGTGGCAGCACCGTAGGTCTCCCGATGAAGATGAGACAACAGGCCATGACAGACGTCTCAAGCAACACAAGGCCGAAGAGGGCCCAGAATGTTGACAAGATATCTGGGAGGCCGGACCCTGTTCGACTTCCAAAACCCCCAGCACCCGCCAGGCGACCCAAGACATATGACCAAAACCAGCGGCCAAAGCAGCATACTTACGCACATCATGGGCATGAGGGTAGACCACAGGCTGGCTAGACATGAGTACACTGAGGACTAACCGATAACACAAGTCCTGATGGAGGGAATCAGGTAAAAAAGGATCCACCCAGAGCATGGCCACGGACACCGCACCAGCGGCCCACAAGTAGCGCCACAAAGCTGCCACAGGACATGAGAAATGTTACACCCCCAGCCTAACCAACCAAGCAACACAATCAACGGACCTCTCTGGAAGCCTGCCATCTTATTCTTAGCCAGAAAAGGAGAAGGCTGCAAACAAAGAAAACCACCCACCAGGGTCAAAAGAGCAGAAACCTTTGTGCCGGAGAAGAGCATGAAGCTCCGCAACCCGACCCCCAGAGAACAAAGCCAACTAAAACATGGCTGTCAAAAGCAAACCCAAACTGAAAGGACCACAATAAACTGAAGGGAGGAAAGAAAAGAGAGCACCTGGTCCAAAGACCAAGACTGCGCAAGCGGTGCATGAGCAGGCTGGAGGTGAAAACTTGCATGGGAAAGCTTGCAGAACAGAGCAGAAGGAACATTCACTCTGAATGCAAGCCAAAGTTGCTCCACCAACGCTGCACAATAAGAAGCTACAGTATGCAGCAGGAGATGCCAGTCCAAAAAGAGTCATGAAAGAACAAAACTACCCTCACAGATACCGACTACACCCTGCAAATTGAAAGAAAATGGCAGAAAGACCGTCAGGAGACAACATACTGTCGCTGAGAAGAAGACCACCACTCGATTATCCGGGATTCGAATATCCAGCGAAAACCTGGCCCTTATACGTGTGGTTGGAAGCCAAAATCGTCCGGACCGGATAAAGTTCTCAATATCCAGCCAAAATGTCCATGGGAGCCGGATAAAAGCTGTTTTAGCCGGATAAAAAATCTGAGCCGGTTAACTTGCTGCCGATGTTACACTATCCAGACAGTCAGCCAGACAATCATTGAATTGTCCGGATATGAAAGCCAGGGGGCGGGCCGTACCGTATTAATCCTGTACGGCTGTGGCTCGAGGCGCATGGTGTAGGAGGGGGTGGGGTGGGTGGGTGGTGTCGGGAGAGAGGGGAGCATTAGGAGGGACCACCTGGGGGATAAGGGGGATGTGGAACGGCCTATACACTACAGTACAGGAATTACCATTAATTTTAGAACAATTCATCATAGCCAAAAACAAAAGAAATACTAGTAATTATGTAATAAAAAATACTATACAAGTTTCCTAAAAACAATTTGCACAGGCTGAAGTTTCCTTAAAAAAATATTGTGATTTTTTTTCCTCCTGGCGGCCTATGTAACGTGCCTGCCTGCCCCAAGTAGACCCGTCCAGGCCTGGTCAAGCCATGTGCTCTCGTCCCTCGTGTTATACCACAGTGCCGCGCCATTAGTGAAATACTTTTTTAAATAACTTTTTTATTTTCATAGTAACTTTGAACATTTTTGGCCAAGACTATGTCTGGTAGCAGCATCAATCGTTCTGGAGGTGTTAAGAGGAAGAAGGTTGTCCTAACAATTAAGGACAAGTTACGTGTTATACAACTTTGTGAAAATGGCCGGTCGACTTCAAGTGTTGCCAAGGTATTTAATATAGGCACTAGTACTGTTTCTGATATAAGGAAACAAAAAGAGAAAATTCTGAAATACATTTCAACCAGTGAGAGTGAAGGTGCAAGCACTAGCAGAGGGTGTGGTAGAAAAACTTTGAAAACTTCGACGCATGTACAGTTGGATGAGGCTGTGTACAAGTGGTTTGCTCAGCACCGCACAGCTGGTGTGACAATTCGCGGCCCAGAAATACAAAATGCTGCAAGCAGGTTTGCAGCAAGCCTTGGAATAAAGGATTTCCAAGCTAGTGAAGGGTGGGTTGCAAGGTTCAAAGGTAGGCACAATATCGCGAAGAGGAAAATTGTCGGTGAAAAATTTAGCGCAGATACAAGCAGTGTAGAACCATTTAAACATAAATTAAGAACATACATTTTGGCAAATAATTTATATTCTTATCAAATTTATAATGCTGATGAAACTGGGCTGTATTGGAGGAGTTTACCAGAAAAACTCTAGCTATGAGGAGTGAGGGTTGTGTGCCAGGCTGTAAGGTTAACAAGGACAGGCTGTCGGCCATGATGTGTGTGAATGCCGACGGCACAGACAGAATCACGTGTGCAATTGTTGGCAAATCAAAGAAACCAAGAGCCTTGCAACATTGCTTGGACAGACTGCCAGTGAAATATTATAACTCAAAGAATGCATGGTTTACACAGGAGATCTTTCTTTCCTGGTTTCATGACGTGTTCTGCAGGGAAGTTCGTGACTATCAAGTTAAGAAACTCAAAGTAAGGCCAAGCGAAGTTCGGGCTTTGCTGTTGCTTGATAATGCGCCTGCCCACCCCAGAATTGACACGTTAACCTCACATGATGGCAAGATAACGTGTATGGCACTTCCTCCTAATACAACCTCTCTCATCCAGCCTATGGATCAGGGAGTTATCTGTGCCACGAAGAGGTTGTACACCAAAAAGATGCTCAACGAAGTTTTGGTGGTTTTGCCTCTTCCGGAAGATATTGAACTCGGTGTGGATAACAGGGCTAAAAAAAAACTTGAGAATTTGAAGAACTATACAATCAAGGAAGCCATCTATAACTGGGCCAAGGTGTGGAGTGAAGTAAAGGAATCGACTTTGAAAAATTCCTGGAAAAAACTCCTCATGTCTACGGTCAGAAATGAGGAGGATGAAGAAATGGATTTTGAAGGATTTACAGATGAAATCCATGGAATGTTCAGAAATGCCGGCAAAAACTTAGAAAGACAGGATGTGGTTGATTGGCTTGAAAAAGATGCCAATGACCCAGGATATGGTGTGATGAGTGAAGACGAGATTCTCCAGTCTATTACTGGTGAGGTTGACGTAGAGATGGAGGATGAAGAAGGCAGTGATGAACCAACACCAATGATCACGAAATACAGTGTACTCATGACCTATGTTGATGGATTAATAAATTTTTCATCCAATTGTGCTCATCCAGAAGTTGGAAACATGTATCAGTACCTGAGGCGAACCAAAGAGCTGATCATACAACTGGCCAATGAACACAGAAGGCAAGCTACACTTGATTCTTATATGGTAAGAAAATCAAGCCAAGGCCCTTCAACAAGTGAGGCATCACAGGCAAGCCAAGCGCCTTCAACCTTCAACAAGTGAGGCGTCACAGGCAAGCCAAGCGCCTTCAACAAGTGAGGCGTCACAGGCAAGCCAAGCGCCTTCAACCAGTGAGGCGTCACAGGCAAGCCAAGCGCCTTCAACCAGTGAGGCGTCACAGGCAAGCCAAGCGCCTTCAACCAGTGAGGCGTCACAGGCAAGCCAAGCGCCTTCAACCAGTGAGGCGTCACAGGCAAGCCAAGCGCCTTCAACCAGTGAGGCGTCACAGGCAAGCCAAGCGCCTTCAACCAGTGAGGCGTCACAGGCAAGCCAAGCGCCTTCAACCAGTGAGGCGTCACAGGCAAGCCAAGCGCCTTCAACCAGTGAGGCGTCACAGGCAAGCCAAGCGCCTTCAACCAGTGAGGCGTCACAGGCAAGCCAAGCGCCTTCAACCAGTGAGGTCACAGGCAAGCCAAGCGCCTTCAACCAGTGAGGCGTCACAGGCAAGCCAAGCGCCTTCAACCAAGTCACAGGCAAGCCAAGCGCTCACAGGCAAGCCAAATGCTTTCAACCAGTGAGGCGTCACAGGCAAGCCAAGCGCCTTCAACCAGTGAGGCGTCACAGGCAAGCCAAGCGCCTTCAACCAGTGAGGCGTCACAGGCAAGCCAAGCGCCTTCAACCAGTGAGGCGTCACAGGCAAGCCAAGAGCCTTCAACCAGTGAGGCGTCACAGGCAAGCCAAGAGCCTTCAACCAGTGAGGCGTCACAGGCAAGCCAAGCGCCTTCAACCAGTGAGGCGTCACAGGCAAGCCAAGCGCCTTCAACCAGTGAGGCTTCACAGGCAAGCCAAGCGCCTTCAACAAGTGAGGCATCACAGGCAAGCCAAACGCTTTCAACCAGTGAGGCTTCACAGGCAAGCCAAGCGCCTTCAACCAGTGAGGCTTCACAGGCAAGCCAAGCGCCTTCAACCAGTGAGGCTTCACAGGCAAGCCAAGCGCCTTCAACAAGTGAGGCATCACAGGCAAGCAAAATGATTTCAACCAGTGAGGCTTCCGCAGCTGACAGTGAAAACTCACTTTGCCTAATGAACTGTGCAGTAATTTTAAGTGTTAATTTTAGTGTTGTGTTAGTATAGGTTACGTAAATTGTCAAGAATTTTTAACTTCAAGATGTGTGGCATCAATCAAGAAGACGAACAACAACAAGGTAAGTTGAGGTTTCTAGTTGAATATTTAATAATTATATGTGGCAAGGCAATTCAAATTATGCTGTTTGTAGTATAAAAATAGTTGGAAATGGTTAGTTTTGGACTCATAGGTGAAAAAGTGAAAAAGTAGTCAGGATAATCGAGTGATGACATCTGGTTAAAAAATTGGAAAGCTGACGTGATCCCCAAACTAAAAACCAGCAAACGAGCATCTGCAAATGAACAGATCTCCACCAGGACCGAAAGAGCAGAAACCTTTGAGCCGAAGGAGAGCTTCCCAATATAGCAATCTCCGGATAAGGACCAGGACGGCTCAGGCAGTGCATGAGCAGGCCGGATGTGAAACAAAGCACAAGAAAGCTTATGGAACGGGACGGAAGTGACATCCACCCTGAACGCATGTTGGAACAGCTCCGCCAGTGCTGTACGATAAGAGGCGACAGTATTCGGCATAAAATGACAGTCTTGAAAGAGCCAAGAAAGGACAAAACAACCCGAACAAAAACAGAAGACAACCTACAAAGAGAGACGATATGGTGAAAAGAACGCCAAGAGACTTCATACTGTTGCCGAGAAAAAGACCACAGGTAGGACATCATCAAAGAAGCCCTGATCACCATACAAGTGGTGATAGACATGTGTCAAAAAGACCAGACTCAAAGAGCGGAGTAGAAGGAACCAGCCAGGTACTGGACCGGCCTGATCTGCTGGAAGAAGCAGAGCCGCAGAAAATGCCCTAGGTTCAGACACCGAGCAAGCAGCGACTGCAACCCAAGGCTGTGCTGGTCACCACAGGGCTACAAGAACGACTCTCCCACAATAAGACTAACTGACCCAGAACCCTAAGCAACAAACAGCTGGACCGCGGGAAAGAGATACAGGTAACCACACTTCATCCTGGCGAAAAGCGTCCACTGCGACGGTTCCACAGTCGGGAAAGGGGCACCACATACATCGGGAGACACCGGAGGGACCACGGCAATGGGAAGAGGTTCACCTACAGGGGCTTGTACGACTAGCAGAGCCAACTGAAGGAGTCAGCGTTGACTGTCCATTTCATGGGCAGGGGAATGAACCATGACAGGCCGTCTGCCAGGACGTTGGACACTCTTTGGACCCGAGAACCCCCCACCCCCCGGAACAGCTGAAAGCAGGACTGCAGCCGCAGCAACACTGCAGGAGACACACTGAAGCGGTCCGGGAGTCCCAAACAAGGCCCAGCCAGGTCCGAACCTGCAGTTCACCAGGAATCCGAACCCGGTTAGCTGGGAAGGAACGACACCCTGTTTTAGTACTGGAAACAAGCGAGAAGCCAACTTGAAGGACCAGGTTGTTATGACCACGCACAAGTGCACCCACTCCAAGATGACCTGATGGAGCGAAGTGGAAGAAGCCTGCTCCGAACCACCCAAAGGAGGATGAGCCGTCTAATACAACCACAGGCCAGAGGACACGACCCAAAATACCCACGAATCACGGGACCAAAGATGGGCAAACAGCCAGCTTCTCCCGTCAACGAGGTGACCCACGAAGGGTTAGTGACTTCTCGTGACAATCTTATGAAAAGCCGGCAGACATGCAGAGAGCAGTGCACCGAGCTAGTATTAAAGAAACTCAGGCCCCCCCCCCCTTCCCCGGGAGAACCAACAAATCTAATGAAGGCTGCTTGGAAAAATTGAGTAACAGCCTTGTCCACAAATGACAACAGACAGAAGAGCGACGAAAATCTAAGAGCCAGGGCCCAAGCAAATTCCAAGGAGAGACTGAGGACAGCCTGGTACCGCGAGGCGAGAGGCAAAGAACAGAGATACCACCTTCCAGAGTATCGGCACAAACAACTTCAACAGTGCCCCAGAAGAAGACCCGGCACTCAACGCCTCCACGTCTTCCGCAAGCCAGTTCAAGGACAACTCGAGAAGGGAAAAGGAGCGTAAGACTAAGGCCAAATGCCCGCAGGCATGAAAACTCTCAGCCACCAAAGCAGCCGAAAGGGGTGGGAACCATCACGTGCAGCTGCAGAGGGCCAATATCACGAGGAAGTACAGGGGGAAAAAGGCATACACTGAGACGCTCAAAATTGCTCCACAAGTAAACCGGCAGAACGGTAGCAGCCTCCTGCCATTCAAGTGTACGGGTCCGACAAAACTTGTGCCACGCTCCCTGAGAAAAGAAAAGGCAGTCTAGCAGCCTGGAAGACACTGGAACTTCATAACGCACCATATACGTAGAAGAAGAACTTAACTCAAACGAGGATGGATCCATTACTGAGGCAAAATCTGGGTTTCGTAGGAGGTAAAAAGCAAGAACTTCCCGAACCTCCTTAGGCGGGATGCAGGAGACAGAAAACCTCCGGAAAGATGCCAAGGCACCCAAGGGATCCCGGAACCAAACCCGGGGAGGAGCCGACCCCAATCAAATTCGTACAGGGAAGGGGGTATGAAAATTCTGCTCCCTGCAACAACAGACCCCATGATGAGGGCCCCAAAACCCAAGCGGGATCAAAGGGGGTCCAAGACCCTCAGGCCAACTCCTCCCCAGCCCCCAGAGCCTCCGAACCAGGCTCCGGGGCAGAGCCATTCCCCATGCCCTTCACTTATCTCCATGCCCTCGCAAACGAACCTCACAAGGGCAATGAACAACCCTCAAACTCGCACAAAGCAAGAAGGGACTCAAGAGGACGCATCGATTGGACAACCAAGCCCCGACAGGGTTTTTCCAGGGCCTGTAGGGAGCGTGCTCCCTACAGGAAACCCAGGCTACGGTGCTGCAAAGTCGGTTGAGCCCGAATGATAATGTCAACAAAGAGGGAACTGGGCTAAACTGGACCCTTGTGAAGTGTACAAGCACGGGGGCCTAGAGGAGAGCCACCCAAAATACCCTAGGAAGACAAATAGTAAAACAAGCAGACCACCTCCATGCAGGAAAATAAAAAGAAAAGAAAACCCCCACAAATGCACAACAACAAAGGACGAACCAAGAACATAGCCGTTGCTAGATAGTCGAGTTTCTTAGCACCTCAAACAGCAGGAAACACCACCAGGACACAAATTCTGGCAGGAAACTGAGGCCAGAGTCGACAACCACCCCAGGCAGCTTCAGTCTACGAACTGAAGAGTGAGGAGCCGGCGTGGGGGTCCCTGGCTCCCCACCTTCCCCTCCTGGGGAGTGGGAAGAGCTGCACGGACAAGTGGCGCAATGGTGGTTGATGACGTTTGCCCGTTTCCTTATTTTCTTTTGGAGGAGTTCTGTTTCTCTGTTCAGTCTTGGGTTTGCAATTTCCTACGAAGTGGGGTTTGTTTTGGGATGCCTATCTTTCTGGCTGCCTAATACCGGTCGACCAACTTAAGGAGCCCGTTGGCCGAGCGGACAGCACGCTGGACTTGTGATCCTGTGGTCCCGGGTATGATCCCGGGCACCGGCGAGAAAATATGGGCAGAGTTTCTTTCACCCTATGCCCCTGTTACCTAGCAGTAAAATAGGTACCTGGGTGTTAGTCAACTGTCACGGGCTGCTTCCTGGGGGTGGAGGCCTGGTCGAGGACCGGGCCGCAGGGACACTAAAAGCCCCAAAATCATCTCAAGATAACCTCAAGATAACCCCGGTCGATGGCAGACATGGAATACTCCCAAATACAGGGAGGGAGGGTTTCCTTAGGCCATTGCTCCCTGCACCTCTCTGACGGGACCCAGGTTCTGGCTCATGGTTCTCGGTAGGCAGAACTCCATTGACTGAATCCCCAGACTAAAATAGCTAATATCAGTCCGATAGCTCCAGGGAGCCGAAGGGGCTCCCCACAGAAAATCTATCAGAACCAGAAAAGTTACTGCATGCAGAAACCTAAGAAAATGTGCTGAATGAAATCAAGGCTTACTTTTATATCACTGAGTGCACTACTGCTGCAAATACTGTATATAAATTGAAAGGCTGTGAGTTCATAGAGAATAATCCTGTTTACTGGCAAATTTTTAATTTATTAACAAGCCCTTTTTAATCAATATACAAATTGATTTACTCGTGCATTAATACCTTACCGCATACTAAGTGTGCAAAAACCTTCGGCCTTCTCACTGCGCCGCACAAGATATGTCCCTTCAAGTGTGAGTAAGTCGCGACACAGGTGTCGTCCAATTCTGCCATGATACTCCAGGCCATAATAAGGGGGACTGTCGGGTGGTCTATCGGTGCATAAGATGGCAGCTGGCTTAGGAGCTTCTTCTTGAAGCTGGTACACTAAAACACAGACAGTAAAATGTGTGAATCCTGATCCATTACAGATATACGTACTGTACCATATACTGTATGTATGTATGTGTATGTATGCATGTATATGTATGTATGTAATTACCTAAGTGTAATTACCTAAGTGTAGTTACAGGATGAGAGCTACGCTCGTGGTGACCCGTCTTCCCAGCACTCTTTGTCATATAACGCTTTGAAACTACTGACGGTCTTGGCCTCCACCACCTTCTCACTTAACTTGTTCCAACCGTCTACCACTCTATTTGCGAAGGTGAATTTTCTTATATTTCTTCGGCATCTGTGTTTAGCTAGTTTAAATCTATGACCTCTTGTTCTTGAAATTCCAGGTCTCAGGAAGTCTTCCCTGTCGATTTTATCAATTCCTGTTACTATTTTGTATGTAGTGATCATATCACCTCTTTTTCTTCTGTCTTCTAGTTTTGGCATATTTAATGCTCCTAACCTCTCCTCGTAGCTCTTGCCCTTCAGTTCTGGGAGCCACTTAGTAGCATGTCTTTGCACCTTTTCCAGTTTGTTGATGTGCTTCTTAAGATATGGGCACCACACAACAGCTGCATATTCTAGCTTTGGCCTAACAAAAGTCATGAACAATTTCTTTAGTATATCGCCATCCATGTATTTAAATGCAATTCTGAAGTTAGAAAGCATAGCATAGGCTCCTTGCACAATATTCTTTATGTGGTCCTCAGGTGATAGTTTTCTATCTAGAACCACTCCTAGATCTCTTTCTTTATCAGAATTCTTTAAAGATTTCTCACATAATATATAGGTTGTGTGGGGTCTATGTTCTCCTATTCCACATTCCATAACATGACATTTATTAACATTAAATTCCATTTGCCAAGTGGTGCTCCATATACTTATTTTGTCCAGGTCTTCTTGAAGGGCATGACAGTCATCTAAATTTCTTATCCTTCCTATTATCTTAGCATCATCAGCAAACATGTTCATATAATTCTGTATACCAACTGGTAGATCATTTATGTACACAATAAACATCACTGGTGCAAGAACTGAACCCTGTGGTACTCCACTTGTGACATTTCTCCATTCTGATACATTGCCTCTGATTACTGCCCTCATTTTTCTATCAGTCAGAAAATTTTTCATCCATGATAGAAGCTTACCTGTCACCCCTCCAATATTTTCCAGTTTCCAGAACAACCTCTTATGTGGAACTCTGTCGAAAGCCTTTTTTAGGTCCAGATAGATGCAGTCAACCCAACCATCTCTTTCCTGTAATATCTCTGTGGCTCGATCATAGAAACTGAGTAAATTCGATACACAGGATCTTCCAGATCGAAAACCATACTGTCTGTCTGATATTATATCATTTCTCTCTAGGTGTTCTACCCATTTAGTTTTGATTAGTTTTTCCAATACTTTCACTATTACACTTGTCAATGATACAGGTCTATAATTGAGGGGGTCTTCCCTGCTGCCACTTTTGTAGATTGGAACTATGTTAGCCTGTTTCCACCCGTCTGCTACGATTCCTGTACACAGGGATGCCTGAAAGATCAGGTGAAGTGGAATGCTGAGCTCAGATGCACATTCTCTCAGAACCCATGGTGAAACGCCATCTGGGCCAGCTGCTTTGTTCTTACCGAGCTCCTTGAGCATTTTTTCCACTTCGTCTCTAGACACCTCTATGTGTTCTATGTTGTTCTCTGGAATTCTTATTGTATCTGGTTCCCTAAAGATTTCATTTTGTACAAACACACTTTGGAACTTTTCGTTTAGTGTTTCACACATTTCCTTTTCATCTTCCGTGAATCTATTTCCCATTTTCAACCTCTGAATATTATCCTTTACCTGCAATTTGTTGTTTATGAATTTATAGAATAGACCTGGTTCTGTTTTACATTTGTCCGCAATCCCTTTTTCAAAATTTCTTTCTGCCTCTCTCCTCACTGCCGTGTAGTTGTTTCTCGCATCTTTGTATCGCTGGTATGTTTGGGGGTTCGGCCTCTTCCTGTATTGATTCCATTTTTGTGTCTTTCGGTCTCTAGCCCTCTCGCAATTTCTATTGAACCAATCCTGTTTCCTAGTTCTGCATCTCTGTTTTGGTATAAATTTTTTTGTGCCTTTATCATATATTTCACAAAACTTGCCATACATCTCATTCACTTCCTTGCCTAGCATCAAGTCTGTCCAATTATACTCACTAAAAAAATTTCTAAGGTCACCATAATGTCCTCTCCTGAAGTCTGGTTTTTCAACTGCTTCAACCTCCTTATTTTCTTCCAGCTTATAACGCATTGCATACTTTATTCCCAAAAAGACATGGTCACTTTTACCCAAGGGAGGAAGGTACTGAATGTCAAATATCTCTTCCTCCTTCCTGGTAAATATCAAATCTAGCATGGAGGGAACGTCCCCTTCCCTCATCCTCGTAGCTTGTTTAACATGTTGATACAAGAATGTTTCCAGGATGAGGTCTACAAATTTACAGGTCCAAAAATCTTCTGTTTTAGCTTCATATGCTTCCCAGTCTATGGATTTCAAGTTGAAGTCACCGACTATCAACAGTCGTGATCTATCGTTATCCGCTCTCGCTATAATCTCTCTCATTATTGTTATAAGACCTTCACGTTTACTATCTAGCTCCTCCTTTGACCATGTGCTGCTTGGCGGTGGACTATATGCATTTATCATCATTAGTTTATCATCCTCATAGCAGATCTCTAGTGCTATTATGTCAACTTCTTGTGGATTGGCAGTCATTATTTCCTTCACCTTTAGGTGTTCTTTTACCAGCACAGCAACGCCACCGCCTTTCCTAATTTTTCTGTCCCGTCTCCAAATTGAGTAGCCCCTCGGGAATATGACCTCATTTAAAATTACATCTTCAAGTTTTGTCTCCGTGAGTGCAACAATGTCTGGTGTCTGCAGCTGTATTACATCACTTAACTCCAGTATCTTCGATCTCACTCCATCTATGTTGGTGTATGCAATCTTCAGGAACTTGTTCCCCCTCTCCTTATTCTTCACTCCCCCTCTCTCTATTGATTTTGTTGGTTTGCCTTTATGTACCACTTTACTGGTTTGCCTACCCCTATCACTTTGTAGAAAAAAGAATTTATTTCTTCTTCATTCCTGCTCTCATTTAAATGTTTTGCCTCGGCGAGGTTCAGTTTCAGCTTCTCTCTATCTTCTTTTGAAAGATCTCGTCTTAATGACCACCCTTTCCCATCCTCATCCCTTTGCAATTTTCTAGCATTCCTTAGTACTTCTTCCATCTGTTTGGCACCGTTTAGGGTGATCCTCAAAGGTCGATCTTTCCCTTTTACGTACCTGCCTATTCTCCTGTAGTCGCACACATTCTCTCTGTTTGTAAGACCTTCCACGAGGCCAACAATTATATCTACTACTTTAGCTTCTTCTACAGCTCTTTCTGACCTAGATGTTATCGCCTTTTCTTTGCAGCCAAAAATGATCAGGGACTTACTCCGATCAACTGTGTTTTGCACCAACTTCGGGTTAGATGCCAATTCTTTCCTCACTTCTAGCCTAATGTTTGTTTTATCTTGGTTGCTGCAGTGTTTGACTTCCTTTACTGCTTCTTCTATTTTTTCCTTCTCCTTGGCCACTTGTGCATAAGTGAGTTGCATATCTTTCTTGCACTGTTCTATTCCCTGTGTAACTTCCTCCATCTGTGCTGACAAAAGCTGTTTCTCCTGTTGAATTTCCTTGCCTAACCTATTGTAGTCATTTATGTTTAAATTTACTTTAACTTCTTCCAAAGCTATTTTTAAGAGTTTATTTTCTTCTTCCATGGCTTTGCTCATTGAATCCCTCAAAATCAAGCTCTGTTTTGTTTTTCCCCTTGCCGGTATATGTGTGTGTGTGTGTGTGTGTGTGATTAGTGAGTACAATTAGTGTGTGTAATTAGGCGAGTACAGTGGTACCTCGAATAACGAATTTAATCCGTTCTGTGTTCGTCATGTGAAACGTACGTCATACAAAACAAATGTCCCCAGGTAACCACTGTGATGCACTGTGTTTATTGTGAAATTCCCCCAGTGTGCATGACATCAAATGTTCAAAAAAAATCATTTTTCTTTGTAAAATGATAAATTACCTTCCCTGAACATGTCTATGTAAAAATAATTACCAAATTCCACTTACTTTGGCTGTGAGGGCGTGGACAAGGTGCGCTGTGACATCATCAGGGGCTGGTCGCCCGTGTGTGAAGCTCCCAGACACGGTCGCGCAGGCCATTCAAACACCGCGTGTTGCCACAAATATATTTTCAAATATTTTTTCTATGTATTTCCAATGTGGTTTTATTTGTTTCTTTTATCGTATATAATGCATATTTGTGACCTTTACAATATGTATACAGTAGAATGTTCATAATTGTCCATGAAACTGTGATACATGTGTCAGTAATGTGTCCACAATAAATGTTTATTGTCATAATATTACGTGGTAAAAATTCACTAAAATTACAATATGTACAGTTTCACACTGTATTACACACTCAGTACTTTGGAGGTGCGTAATAATCAACGAAGTAGTCCATGGTACACAGCACGACTTTGCTCTCGATGCACCAGCTACAGATAGATTTTCGCTTCCCGTTTCATCGTTCTGTGTGCTTGCAAATAACGCACCCTTGGCTTTAGTACTTCTAGGTGGTATGTAGCTAAGCTTGTAAAGCATAAGGTAGTATTGAAACGATTATAAGAAAAGCACAATGTGTAAGGTAGTCTTGAAAAGATAGCTTTGTATGGTCCCACACAGCTAGCCTCAAAGAGTGTCTGTCAGTCAGGAAGAGATTCAGGTATTCTTGAAAATATCTATGGAAAACACCACCATGGAAGCTGCTAACACTGTTCATCTATGCTACTTGTATCAGATGCATCATCACTGAACGCAGAAAACGATTCATCTATGTATCATCTACATAAATTGGAGATGGCAAGGGTGGGGCTCAGAGCTACAACTGGATACGCTCGCTGTAT